ATATGACATCTCTTTTACCCAGATCCTACCACTGGGATGCCTAGAGGGAGCAAAGTTGGACCTGGCCCCTTGAGACTGGCAGGAGCCTTTCCCAGTGTTTATGTCATCCTTGCCCACCACATAAAGCCATTGTCCCAGGGTCACTCACCATCTCTCACTCCAAGGACAGCTTCAAACCTGCCCCCTCTTCTCTATACTTCCCATCTGCACTAGTTGCCATATAGCTGAGGTCCACCCTTATTGGTTGCCAGCTACCTGATGTCTGACCATAGTTTCCACCTGGGTTTGGAGCCAGCACCCAAGGTACTCCTGTATGTATCCACAGGTCTGGCTACTATCCAGGGACAGGATTCATCTGCTGGTACCATCTCCTTCTAGCCAGGTCAGGTCTACTACCCGCTAATGGTAGCAGTCTCTTGCATAGACCCTACTTCTGCAAGGCCACCTTCCCCTTGAGTTTCCCTCTCACAATTCACAAGAGAGTGAGGAGTAGGCACTGGCAGAGGAGCTGGTGGAGGGGGAGGAAATCATGAGCTCCTGTCAGTTGCAGTAGTGTTACTGAGACCCTGGGTTCCATCTTCTAAGAAGTGTCTCTCCTCAGGGAAGCTCCACCTCTGGGGTCCTATGGATAGCCCTGGTCTGACACCACATCTTTGTGAGGACTCTGTGTTGGCAGGGTTTCCAAAGAGACAGACATATATAGCTCTTACACAGGCTCAGCCAGGGTGATATAAAAGTGACCCTGAAGACCTCTTCCCAGTGCTCATGTATTGCTAACATTTTATTAAAGTAGTTTAAGATGAGAACATATTTTGAAGAAACCCTAACCTTAATTCTGCATATGTGAATACATTTGAGTTTGCCAATATTTCTATTTTCCATACTGTAACTGTGTCAAGGCCAGCTCAGGTCTACTGTCTGAAGATGTTTGGCACCTGTCTGAAGACTGTTAAATCTACTCTCTGGCTACCATAGGCATAAAATGAAGAACTACTTTCTTCCCTTTGAGATGACCTAGTTTAGCTCCTTCTCTCAACATAGCAGCTATGCAGTGGTGACATCTTGTGGCAAATTCTGTATTTTGTCACTCCCATGGCCCCAGCTGACGAGCACTGACTCTCCCTGGCTCAGATGTAAGGTCCTTCCTTAAGATTCTGCTGCCCACCTCTACTGCAGCACTGACAAAGTTGAAGAGTTTGATATCTGTGGGCAAGTATCTTAGAGGCCCAGAACACTGAGATCTGAGACAGAAAGCACCCAGAGAACATGTCAGAAGAATGGGGCAGGGAAATAGGATGAGTTGCATGGAGTAGCTGCCAAAGGGACATTTTCCTCTATAAAGGGAGTGAGGATTTTGGCCAGTGCTTCCTACTAGCAGGAAGTGCAGTAGTGGGGCAGCCCCTGGCACATCACCTATTGGACTTGTTCTTCTCATGGCTCTCAGTAAGCCTCGGCACAGCCTCCCTGACCACCACCAAGTCCTGAGCAGGCAAGGCCATGGCAGGTACTGTCTGGTGTTTGGACAGGGAGCTCCTCCTCAAAAAGAGGGTACTGTCTCTAAAACTTTTGGAGGATAAAAATATTTTACAATTATTGTAATTGCAAAAGCAACCCTCGCTCATCATAAAAAACCAACCACAGCACAGAGGTTAAAAAAAAGGTAAGAACTGGTGTCCCTTGCCAAGGCTGAAATGCACTAAGAAAATAGCCACATATTTACCCATGCAGTTCTAGAGCTCTCATTCTTTTGTGTAGATCTATATTTCCATTTGGTATCATTTGCTTTCTGCCTCAGAAACTCCCTTTAACATTTCACACTGCTGCTGAATTTTTAGCTTTTAGATTTCTGGGAAAAACTTCCACCTTTTAAAAAAGTAACAAACTTTACTTTGGAGAGCAGTTTTAGGTTTACAGAAAATTTGAGCAGACAGTACAGAGTTCCATGGACTACCCTCCTCCTGTACATGGCTTTCCCCATTATTTACTTATGGCATTAGTGTACATTGCTACAATTGATGTGCCAATATTGATATATTACTATTAACTAAAGTCCATCTTTAGGGACTTTAGTTTACCTTAGGGTTCCCTCTTGGAGCACCGAACATTTCTTTCTTTCTTTCTTTCTTTCTTTCTTTCTTTCTTTCTTTCTTTCTTTCTTTCTCTCCTCTCTCTCTCTCTCTCTCTCTCTCTCTCTCTCTCTCTCTTCCTTCCTTTCTTCCTTTTCTCTTCTTCCCTTCTTCTTCCTTCCTTCTTCTTCCTTCTTCCTTTTCCTTCTTCTTTCTTTCTTTCTTTTTCTTTTCTTTCTTTCTTTCTCTTTTTCTTTCTTTTTCTTTCTTTCTTTCTTTCTTTCTTTCTTTCTTTCCTTTCTTTCCTTCCTTCCTTCCTTCCTTCCTTCCTTTCTTTCTGTCTTTCTTTCTTTTTCTTTCTTTCTTTGTTCTCTCTCTTTCTCTCCCTCCCTCCCTTCCTTGGTGCTGGGAATGGAACAAAGGGCCTTGTTCATGCTATGTAGGTGCTCTACCACTGAGCTATATACCTAGCCCTGTAGGGTTTGCCAAATGTATAATGATGTATTCACTCTTCAGTATTAAACATCATTTCGCTGTCCTAAAAATCCTCCTTGCTCCACCTGTTCATCCTCTCCCTCTCCCACAGTCCTTCGCAATCACTGACCTTTTCACTATTTCTACAATTTTGTACTTTTTCGTAGCATCGTTGGAATCATATAACATGTAGCCTTTTCACGCTGGTTTCTTTCATTTAGGAATAAGCACTTTAGGTTCCTTTGTGTCTTTTGTGGCTGATTAGCTCATTCTTTTTAAAATCACTAATTAATACCCTATTGATTTAACACCACAGTTATCCATTTTATTGAAGATCTTTGTTGCTTCTGGTTTTTGGCAGTTATGAATGAAGAGGTTATAAATATCTGTGTGCAGGGTTTTTTTTTGTATATAATAATGGTCATTTTGGGACTGGAGGCATGCCTCAAGTGGTAGAGCACCTGCCTAACAGGCACAAGGCCCTGACTTCAAACCCCAGTACCACCAAGAAAAAAAAATGTCATAGTGGTCATTTGGGTAATACCTAGGAGCACAAATGCTGGATCTTATGATAAGATCCAATAAGAAATAGCCAAACTAAGTGACTATAACATTTTGCTTTCTATCCATCAGTGAATGAGGGTTTCTGTTGCTCCACGTCCTCACCAGCATTGGTTATTTCCAACATCTTAAATTTTGACCATTCTAATAGGTGTACCTTGGTACCTCATTGTTTTATAAATTTGCAATTTCATAATGACATATGATGTGCTCATTTGACATATGTATTTTTTTTTTACTGAGATATCTGTTCAGAGATTTTTGCCCATTTTAAATTGTGCTGTTTGTTTTCTTATTATTGAATTTTAAGAATTCTTGAAAAGTTCTTTACCAGATATATGTTTTGTGACTATTTTCTTTCAGTCTGTGGCTTATCTTTTCATTTTTATTGTCTTTCACAGAGCAGATTTTTATTTTTTTTTTCCAGGACCAGGGCTTGAATTCAGAGCCTATAGCTTGAGGCACTCCACCAGCCCTCTTTTTTGTGTTAGGTATTTTTCAAGATAGGATCTTGTGAACTATTTGCCCTGGCTGGCTTTGAACCGTGATCTTCCTGATCTCTGTCTGCCTCCTGAGTAGCTGGGATTACAGGCATTAGCCACAGGTTCCCAGTCAGAGCAGAAGTTTTTAATGAAATTCAACTTATCATTTTTTTCATGGATTGATACACCTAAAAGTCAATAGAAAACCCAAGGTTAGTATCTTAGACTCCTATGTTATCTTCCAGAAGTTTTATGTGAAAAGCGTGAGAACTGTCTCTTCCCCTTTTATGTGAATATTTAGTTATTCTAGCATCATTTGTTGAAAATACTACCCTTTCTCCACTGAATTGTTTTTGCTCTTTTATCAAAGAAAAGTTGACTCTATTTGTGTGGGTCTATTCTGAGCTTTTGATTCCATTCCATTGATCAGTTTATTGTTTCACCAATACCACATTTTATTATTGTAATTTTATAGTAAGTCTTGAAATCAGGTAGTGTCAATTCTCAAATTTTATTTTTCTCCATCATTATCGTGTTGGCTATCCTTTTTTTTTTTTTTAACCTTTCCACATAAACTTTTAAAAAGAGTATAATCATTTATTTCCCGTTCATATCACAATCCATTCCAGGAAGAGTGGCTCTCTTACAGATGTTAACTCAGGGATCCAGGCTCCTTTCATCTTGTGATGCTACCCTGTCTTCTTCAACATGTATGCTACAAGTTGTGGTAGAAAGAAAGGGAGCTTGGAGGAGTGTGCAGTGAAGATGCTCATGGAACAGGCCTTTGCTTTTCACTCACAACTGGAACAAAAACAGTCTTGACAGATGGGTCTGAATGATACTTAGACTGCAGTCCATTACGACGGTCTTTCTGCTGAGGCCGAGAAAAGAGCTGAAAGGACTGCCAGGTGTGGATGTAGCGCTGGCCACCTGGGAAGCCAGGTGTTGGTGGGTGGTCCGGCAGGGGGCGGGGCTTGCAGCCATTGGTCCTCGTGCTACAGATGCTGGCATCCACCCTACAAGGATCTACCTCCCATCCCGTTTCCTCACTTCTGCCCCGTCGTCCCCAGGATCACTTGCACAGGGATGGTGTCCTGGTGTGACGTCCTCTCTTGGTCCTGTGCTCCCCCGCACCCCTGCCGATAGAGGACCCTTCTCCCGCCGAGACACCTACACCCCCTCCTCGTGTCGTCTGCCCTCGCGGTCACTAGACTGGGGACATCCTCTGCAACGACGGCGCAGCCAGAAGGGCAGGGATCCCGCCGGAGGGTTCGGCAAGTGCGCGGACAGGGGCAGGCCCACCCGGCGGTACCGGTGCAGGTGCCGTTGCCCCTTTAAGCAGGCCTGTCCCCATCCACCCCCCGCGGCGCACGCGCAGTCTGTCCGTTGAGTGCGCAGGCGCAGAGGCGGTGGCGGATGTTTACAGCGGCCGAGGTGCGAGTGGCGGCCGAGGTTGGAGTGGCGGCCGAGGTTGGAGTGGCGCCCGGGCCGCGGACGCAAGGGACCGGCCCGAGGAGCTGCTGTCGCGGCCCAAATCTGCGGGCCGCCGAGCGCGGAGGTAGAGCCGCAGCTGCTGTCACCCCTCGGCCCTTCCCCTCTCTCAGCTTCTCTCCCGTCCCGTCCCTGGCCACCCAAGCGTTTGGGCCGTCTCTTGGGGGGGGGGTCTCCCCCAGCGTCCCCCTCCCCCAGTGTCTACCCCCATCATTTTGTACCCCACCATCCCTGTGTTTCCCTCCCCTAGACCCTCATCGTTTGCATTCTCCAGTATCTCCCCCAGTGTCACCCTCCCCCATCGCCTCAGCATCCCCCTTCCCCCAGTGTGTTCTGTCTCTTCCCCATCACCATCCCCCTCTTCTCCGGCGTCTGCCATCTTCCCCAGCTTTCCCGTCCTCCAACATCTCCATCCCCCCAGCATCTCTATCCCCTAGTATCTCCCCTAGCATCTCCCCCAGCGTCCCACTGCCCCACAACCTTCCCTAGCATCCCCATCCCCCAGCGTCTCCCCCTGTTATCTCTTCCAGCGTCCCCCTCCCCAGCATCTTTTCCCCAGCATCCTCCTTCCTCAGTACTCCCCTCCCCCAGCATCATCCCCCAGTGTCATTCCTCAGCATCAGGCTTGCCGCCCCCCTCCATCCCTGCACTTTGCTCACACTGTGGTATTTGTTTCTCTAGACCTGGAGCCTCTAAGTAGGCAATGTTTGCAGTTAGCTTAAGGCGAGTTAGGAGTCGACAAGGTTTGAAACAAATTCTTCCTTGGATGCTTTTTAGAAGATGACTCTATTACAGAGGAGAAGAGAATTGGCCAAAGTGCTCCGAAAAGGCCTTAAGTACCTGGGGAGAACTTGACTGGGCTTGGTCCTTTGGTTCTTAGGGACTCTGCCTTTCCCCTCAAATTAGTCATCTGAATATCTACTCCTCTGCACCTTGGCACTTGCACTGGTTGTCTTTGTTTTTGTTAATGAAGGAATCCTTAATGCTGGCTCCATTCTGGTGCTTGGTAGACTGTCATTCCAGAATGAGGTGCCTATGAAGTCTCAAAACTGGCTGCGCTTGGGGGAATAGAGGAGCCCACCCCAGGCTCTGCCCTTTCTCTGTCCTCCCTGAGACATGGCAGGGAGTGTTGTGAGAAAGATTTCCTGGTTGATATGAAGCTTTTCTATATGTTTAGTAGAAATTGTCTCCAAGATGTATCCTTGGTGAGGCTTTTGTCCAGAAAGAGGGAGCACAAATAGGGTACCTGTGGGTGACCTTCCCCTAGCACCTGTAAGAGTTCTGGTTTTCAAGATAAGAAAAATCAGGTTTTTTGCATTGTTTTGCTCACAGAATGATGGTTTTGAGTCCCTTTCCCCAACTGCAGTATCTCTGCAGGATATTTTAGAAGCAACATCAATCAATCAAGATTGGATGATGGGCCTCCTGTGTTTTCTGCCACACCTTGCACAGACCAAAATTGGGACCTCCATAGTTTTGTTTGTGTTGACACAAGTACAGTGAAGCCCTACTTGTCAATCATGCTGCTGTAGCTCAGTGAGTCTTCCTACTGTGCCCTGCAGTGGTGTTGGAGTACGTGGGTTACTCCTGGGTAGAGACTGTTAAGTATTTCAGCAAATAGTAAAGTGCAAGGTGCAATCAAAGGCATCCTAAGAATGCTTCTTCACTGTCACTTTGAGAAATTGGATTTGACTGGATTGCAGAGTCTGGTGTGATAGGATTATTATTATTTTTTTTTTGAGGCATGGTGACCAATCATGTTCACATCAGCAGTAGTCAATGATGTTTCTATATGAGGGAGTGTTCGATTGCCAGCTAGTAGTAAATAGCAGACACCAGTGTTTCCCTACATCCCATCAGTGCTAGTAGGGTTGCCCTGATTGTCAAAAGATTAACAAGTTGTGCTATGCAAAGAATGTTGCTCCTTGAGAATTTTAAAAGGTACATTGATGTGGTTATAAAACACAGGCCTTTGGCCAGACAGTCCTGGGTTTAATTCCAGCCTCTACATACACTGGTTGTGTGATTTTGAGCAAATTAACTGCTCAGCCTCAACTTGTTTCACATTGTGAAATTTAAATGAGGTCTTGACTGGCAGGTAGCAGTTAGAAAGAAAGGTGGTAGTTATTTTTACTAAAAAGCTGTCCTGATATGGAATAAGCTTTCAAAATGAGGAAAAATTCAAAATAAGTGATAGAAACTTAGTAGAATATATATTTGTGCTGTCTTCTAAAGATTGTAAAATGTTGGAGTTGAGATAGAATGACAGTATTATATACAGGCTTCAGGGCAAAGAAGTGACTTTCTTGATTTAATACTCAGTAGGATATATGATTTTTAAGTTATTTTCTTAAATAAACCCTTAAATATCCAATCACATGATTCTACTTTCAACCAGTCACCCTAATTTTAAGATGTGCTAGGCTAGCGGTATAGCTTCAGAACTAAGTGGCTTATCCAAGATTAAACCTGACCTCATTAGTACTTAATTCCATTACTCTGAGGGGTAGTTAAAGCCAGGCACTGTCATCTAACAAGGGTTCTGAAATATAATAGGAGGTGAAAATGCAATAATTGAATCATGATTTGAAAAAAAATTAATAAACAGTTCTCAAACCTTGATTATGAAGATTGAATATTCTACCATAAAATAGAAGAGAATTTGTGTCAAGATGTACTTGCACACATTTTGTTCACTGATTATAAGAAGCTGAAGATTCACATAGGTGGTGGTTTGTTTTCATTCCTAGGCTACTCTCCTACTGCTGTTACCATTTGAAAGTAGGGAGTCTCTCCCCTAGTGTTTCCTTGTTACCCTCATTCTGCCAGAGATGCAGAGGACTGTGAGGGGGGAGCCAGTGTAACTGTAGCAGTAGCAATGTTAAAGTTGTTATGAGACTGTTGCTGGTCCTCATGTGTTCTGATGGCCTTCTTCCCAATAGTTTTTGTCAGTATCATCACCTTGTATGCGGTAAAGCCGTTATTTTGGAAAAGTCACCAGGGTCAGTATAAAGGTAGGAAGATGTTTTCGAGGTTTCAGGGAGAGTAAGACCTCTCCAGGTGAAAGGACGTTTCCTGTGCATGGGTGAGGAAACATTGTGCTGTGATAGTGGGGCCCAAAAGGGCCATGTGCTGCACCTTTTTTTAAAGCCAGTTTGGGAGAAGGTAAGAAGTGTGCTTTTGAGAGAGCTGGGACAGCTTTATGGAACACACTTTGTTAGTGGGCCTTGGAAGTTCTGGTAGTAGCCCCTACTGGTAAGCTTTAGCCTTGAAACTGGTTTTGTGTTTGTTATAATAAGGAGTTTGAAACAATGTGTTCTATTTGGGAAGAGTTTTGTTCTCTTTGCCTAAATTTTGAGGCAAAAAAGTATCCAAACCAACAAATTCCAATGGACTGTTTGATTTTGGCAGGAATTAGTATGTATGTTGGGATGTAGAGGACACCACTTAAATTTGAACTACAGATAATACCAAATAGCTTTTTAGTAAATATTGGCTTGAATTTCTAATTAAACTGGAATTTTCTTTTAAATCTAGCATCTTTGGAGGGTGGGGTAGTTGTTTGTGAAAGATATTCCATATGTATTATTTTCAGAATTTAAAATTGGTATGTGTTTGGAGCCGTTATTGTTTTACTCTTACCCTTAATGTAAATAGTTCTTTAAATTTTAATTGTAGTCTTGCCTCAGTGTAATCTTGAACATGGGTGGCGCTGTCAGTGCTGGTGAGGACAACGATGAGCTGATCGATAACTTGAAAGAAGCACAGTATATCCGGACCGACCTGGTAGAGCAGGCTTTCCGAGCTATTGATCGTGCAGATTATTATCTTGAAGAATTTAAAGAAAATGCATACAAAGACTTGGCATGGAAGCATGGAAACATTCACCTCTCGGCCCCGTGCATCTACTCAGAGGTGATGGAGGCCCTGGATCTGCAGCCTGGGCTCTCCTTTCTGAACCTGGGCAGTGGCACCGGCTACCTCAGCTCCATGGTGGGCCTCATTCTAGGTGAGTATGGAAGGAGAGTCTGAAGTTCAGTGTATGAGGTGTCTCCTGGAACAGAAAATACAGTCAGCTGGTTGCATGCCTTGGTACAGGCCATGGCCTCCCACCAGTTGCCTGGACATAGTCCCTGGGTTGTGGGTGGCTGGATGAAACGCCTCTGTGGGCCTTGAGTTCTGTGGCGTGGGGTGCCTCCTGTTCCCTCTGACCTGGCTCTGCTGCACTCTGTTGTGGCCAATGTAAATCTTGACCTAATGTGATATCTTTATTTAATGTAATCACTGTTGTCCCTCCACTGAAGGTCATTAAAGTACTTTAGCAGTTGAAATTCTTCCCAGCAGTTTCTGTTTATTTTGTTCTTTAATACTAAATGAGTGATATCTGTAAGTTTATGTATTTTCTTTCTTTTTTTTTTTTTTTTCCAGTACTGATGTTTAAACTCACAGCCTTGTGCTTGCTAGGCAGGTGTTCCAGCCTTTCTTGCTGTAGGTATTTTTTTCAATAGGGTCTTGCATTTATGCCCAGGCCAGCCTGGACTTCAATCCTGTAGCTGGGATGACAGGCATGAGCCACCATACCTGGCTAAGTTTATTTATTTTCAAATTAATTTCAGGGATGAAAGAGATTTTAGAGGTTATCTTATTTTAGAGCCATTTAGGCTATTTTCCCAAAGAAACAGTTGTGAGAATGGATGTGTGAATACAGCCATTTCTGAAATTAATAACAGCAGTATTAGATAACTGAGGATATATTGAATTCCTACTTTGTGTAAAATGCTACAGTAACGGAACAAAATATGCTTTTATTCTGAGTGAGATAGAATGGGTTTACAGAGGAATGGATTTGTGCTGTGAAGGATCACTCTGGAAGAGGAGTCAGGTCTGGCTGCTGCAAGAAGTTGGATTAGAACCTCAGATAAGCTGGCACAGGTTGGCAGTATTTTTTGGTGTTAGAACTGGTAGGATTTGCTGATAGACTAACCAGTTGTGGTTGTGAAGAAACATCAAGAGTTTCCACAGTGTGCCAGACTTCACTCCTGTAGTCTCAGCTTACTTAGAGGTGGAGGCAGGAGGATCCCTTGAGCCCAACAGTTTGAAATCAGTCTGGGCAACATAGACTCCATCTCAAAAAGAAAAAGTTAATAAGAATGTTCACAGGGACCTTAAGTATTTTCAGTGTAAACTTCTGAATATTGAGTTTTTAGGTTATGTGGTTTGTGTGTTGTGTGAAGAATCCTTGGAATGTACATAATTGTTTTCTCTGTTTATAGTTGTAATAGTGACTTTGAAGACCCTAACAGTAACAACTGATTTTTGTAGATATAGAATGAAAATTCTGGTTTCTTTTTAGGCTCTAAACTATAGATTGCTACCTTTACACTTTAAAATGTGGGTGCTTTTATTTTTAGACTGTTTTTGACCTTAATTTGTCTTTGATTTAGACTGTTGTAGTTTCTGTGTTTTGAGAAAAAACAGTGTCCAGATTATTTATCCTATCATTGTTTGTACCTGAAAAATTGGAAGAGTCTTAGTTAAAGTAGTATTTTGGGGGGAACAGATGATAATAATGGCCAGAGTAGAAATTCTATTGAATAGACCCAACATGCGTAGGAAAAGATGGTTTAAGATTGGAGTGGCCTGTTGCACTTGACACTACAAGAGGCAATGAAGAAAGAGTTTATGATTTGCTGTTGCTGCTTCTGTTTTCTGAGTCTCCTGTTTACTGGGGATTGTGTTAGCTGTGGTAGAGGAGAGGTCTGCATGAAGGAAAGCCTTGTCACTTGTGTGGTGTATTTGGAGGAAGAAGCTTTGGGGTGTGCTCTCATCACAGATGTGTTGGTGGGACCATGGTCTGGGTCTAGATGTAGCAGCTTATTCATCCTTTTTGCCACCTCAAAAACATGACTGCAGAGTGAAAACCCCATTGGTCTCCCAGGGCCTCTGAGGTGAGGTCTGAAGTCTCTAACAGAGATCCTCTCTGACCCCCTTACCTTTACCTGGTCTGTACTTCATCTCATCTCAGTTATATTCTGTGGGCTCCTCTCCTCTTTGTCCAGGGTTCTCTTTCCTTTGTTCTTATGAAGAAGGGGCAGGGAGTGATGATTCATGAGGTAATGTGCCAAAGTAATGAGGATTTAAGTCACTGAATTGTGGAAGGTCTTGAAAGTTTGGAATAATGGTGGACTTGATGTTGTAAATAGTGAATGTAGGATTTCTCATGGAGGATGTGTCTTGATGATGGGATTTTAGCAGTAGCGCTATGTGTGAGAGATATTGGGGGAAAAGAGCAGGGAGTCTTGGCCTGGAATTTGGGCTGTGGCACTAGGTGATCACATGTACCTAGGAGGCAAAGGGCAGATGTGGGGATGCATAAACAGTTGCTCATTCACCAGTGTTTCTGTTGGACTGCAAGATTGAGTGGTGCACTGTGACAAGTAGGTATGTCTGCTAAATAAAGTTCTGTACTTCCTGTTGTTTTTTACATGCAGAGTTAAAAAAATTGAGATGTAATTTACCAATAGTGAAAGAACAAGCTTGCTGGAAGTGTGGCAGTTGGTGGATTTTAATGTACATGTCTGCCTCCACATAAGCACCATCCAGAACAAGGTGCAGACAAGGCTTTCATGCCCCTCCTCTATGGCTCCATCATTCATTGCAGTGTTGAGTAGAGCCTGGGTTGAGCTCCATGAGAATAGTTCCACAACATTAGATGGAGAGGCATCTAAGCTTTGTATCCATAGACTATTCTCTGCTTGCCCAGATCCAACCTAGAGGTAGTTTTATGCTTTCATTGTCAGGGGTCTTGTACATTTTCTCACAGTTTTATTTCACTTATGAATATATTTCTTTTGATTTAAAAAAATGACTTTGAATCAGAGTTTCATTTTAATGATTAAAGCCTATTTTGTGAGGCTTATTACAATGGTCACATCTGAGTGTTTTGGGGAACTTTCTATGGAAAACAGAATCATCTTAAATGTTATCTCTGGACAAACCAAGGTGAGGCCTATGCCAGTTTCATTTGCAAACATTTGTTTCTTCTTTAATTTATCAGTAAGACCCTGAACTCTTGTCTTTTCATTTTCAAATGATTCTTTAAATGTTTGAGAGAGGCCTAGACATCAGAACAAATACTGTGTTTTGGGTGGGGACTACTATATACATTGAAAGACTCTCTTGGGTGGTTTTAGGCCTAAGAATGTGCTGAGATTTTAAAATCTTGTGAATTTCTGCAATTATATAGGCTAAATCAATCATGCAATTAATAAAGTTGAGAGAGAGGAAAAAAAAGTGAGCCAGAGTTCTTGCCCTAGTCCTAAAAGCTTTATTATTCTCAAACCTTTTAGGTCCTTTTGGTGTGAACCATGGTGTGGAGCTTCATTCAGATGTGATAGAGTATGCAAAGCAGAAATTGGACTTCTTCATCAGAACAAGCGATAGCTTTGACAAGTATGATCAGATGCTACTCATTGGGTCAGAGGGTCTGAGTTACAATTTAACAAACTTGATCAGATAGAAAGAAGTCAGTTTAGTAGCGTGCATATGCCAGAAAATGGTTAAACTGTGGTTGGATGATCCTATGTTATATGTGTGCTATGCTAATTACTGTTTTAATGTTGTGTGGTTTTAAGGGCTTTAGGTTTTATAACTATAAAATCTGTATAAAGATAATTTTCCACCAGTATACGAGAAGAAAACAAAATTTTCATTTTGTTCAATTTTCATGTTTCCAAAACTTTTTGAATCATCTGATTGTTTCTAAAATAAAATTGTTGCACTTTCAGTAAACAGCTTATGTAGGTAGCTCTTACCATTTTAAAATAAGGCATTAAAGTTCTCATTTTAAGGATTGAAATTTTCACTTTCTTTTCTTGGCAGTACTAGGTTTTGAACACAGGGCCTTGCATTTGCTAGGCATGTGCTCTACCACTTGAGCTGTGCTCTCAGCCACATATAGATTAAAATTTTCAGACCAACAAAATGTGCTTTTCCTTTTTCTCCCCTGTCAAACAGTAGATTTAAATATGGTGATGAATGCTATAAAAACAATAAATAGATGACTGGATGTTGCTTTAAATTTGGATCATGCTTATAACATTCACTTCATTGTGTTTTGTTTGGACTTTCTAGAGTTCTGTTTATGTAATTAATTATTTTTAGAAGTGTGGCTTCAAGCTTCTAGCTCTGGAAACTGTGTTACCTTGTTCTGATATTTTGTAATTAAAACACAACTTGCGGTTAGCATAGATTTGCTATATGGACTTGTTACAATGTGATACATTCAGTTACAGAAAACATTTTTTTCCTTCTAGGTTTGACTTCTGTGAACCTTCCTTTGTTACTGGCAATTGCCTGGAGATTTCTCCAGATTGTTGTCAGTATGATCGTGTGTACTGTGGGGCTGGGGTACAGAAAGAACATGAAGAATACATGAAGAATCTTCTCAAAGTTGGAGGGATCCTTGTGATGCCCCTGGAAGAGAAGGTCAGATTCTCTTCACAGCTGACATTTCTGTACATGTCTCCCAAGGTCTTTTCCAGGCACTTATGTATATTTATCCTTGTAACGTTTTTTGCCATTTCACAAATTACAAAAAAGAAGCAGATACAGGAGTGGGAACTTGCCCAGGTCATACAGAACTTAGGTGGGACCAGGATCTGGCTCAGGTGCTTGTGGCCTTTTCCTCACCTCCGTTCTTTCTCACTCCTGTTCCTCTTTTCCCCTTTCCTCCTTCCCATTTTTCTCCCCTCCTTTCTTCTCTCTCCTTCTCTTCATCCCAGCTATCCTAATTTTTAATTCTAATTGTTCTGTTTTTTTTCTAGTTTGTTTTGTTTTTTTGAGACGGGGTCTCACTGTGTTGCCCAGGCTGGCTCCAAACTCATGATCCTCCCACCTCAGCCTCTTGTGTATATAGGCATGTATCACCATGCCTGGCCTATCAGAATTATATATAAATATTTCAGAAATATATATAACATCAGAGTTATTATATTTAAACTCAAAGTAATTCTATTTTGTTAGTCTGTTTGTTAAATACCTTGATGGGAAATATTTTGAAGGAATTCCTGCTTTGTGGGAATTTTGTCCAAGTTTACTATTTGGTAATGCATGTTTGTTTGATAGTGTGTTTCATTGTGAAAAACGTAAAAACAAGGAGCTCGGTCCAACATTCATTGATCACTAGGAAGAAATACTTTCAGTAACAATTACTAGGAAAAATAGAAATGACAAAAATTAGGAGATTGTGCACTTTTATGCAATTTTTAAATGTTAGCATTTCAAAATTATTAATCAAAACTAATATTCAGTTTAGAAAATGTAGAATATATGAAAATGAAAAACTCTCACAGTCCGTAACCTAATGAGTATTAGTGTGTGATTCTTATTGTGTTTTTAATTGTATTTGTACTTTTTTGAAAGGATTACTGGACATACTGGTTCATGAATATAGAATTCATGAATATAATTTTAAGTCATTTAACTTTTGGTATCTTTTTTCTTTCATGAAGGCCACTGACTTTATTGATCTAAAAAACTTTACAAGGATAGTAACTGTTCTGCCAAAAAAAGGAGCCAAATGGCATCAAATATACTGGGGGAGGAGGGGTTGAACAGGACCTAGGAATCCACTCAGGAAGGCTGGTAACTGTCCCATGGAACTGGCAGGGGAAGGAGTTAGGGTAATGCACGCAAGAGTGAGAATTCCAAGAAGGTGGAAATGGTGGGGGAGAACTTGCAAAAGACCCTGGAGTGCATGGGAGGTGAGTGTAGGAACAGCAGTCTTTTCTTTGTAGAAGGCAGGAATGAGCCTCCACTCAGCTTTAAACTCTGGAGACTCAACATGGGGATGGGGGCTGGGGGCTTCCTAGAGAGCATCACAAGAAGGCATCACATCACTCTCAAAGGCACCCAAAGCAGTCCCAGGACTGCTTGGTATTGGTGCCACACATATCCTTCAGCCATTTCCTGGAAGAGGTCTTCATCTTTCTTTAGCACCAGAAACTGACCAAGAACCACATAGGCCTTGTAAAAGCCCCTTTCCTTCAGCTTCTTGCCCAGGACTTTGCCAATTCCGGCCAGGCTCCCCACTGGCTTTTCCTCCGTGGGCTGTGCCACAAAGTCTCGGTATTTTGTGGAGGTTGTCATCTTGATTGGTCTTAATTGGCAGCTCTGGCTCCCGTAACTGCTCCTTCTGCCACTCAGCGGCTCCCATCGGTACCTCTAGCCACTAGAACCTCAGTATTATTTTAATGCTTACAAGTAGCTGTTGAATCATTGGTCAAGTTTGTTAACTGGCTCCTGTTACTGAGCATTAGGCAAGGTATGTTTTTTAAATTCTTTTGTAGTACTGGGTTTGAACTCAGGGTCTTCACCTTGAGCCACTCTAGCAGTCCTTTTTGTGATTGGTTTTTTTCCGAGATTGAACTTGTTTCCCGAGGTTGGCTTCGAACCGTGATCCTCCTGATCTCTGCCTCCTGAGTAGCTAGGATTACAGGTGTGAGTCACTGGCACCCAGCTCCAACGTATGGTATTTTGTGGTTACTTAGGGTTATGTAAAGGCATTAGTGAATATCCCTAATTTAAAACAATTTAAAATATTTTAGTATGTATCTGTAAAAGACTGGTTTTTTGTTTTTTTTTTTTTTTTTTTTTTTGTGATACTGGGATCAAATCCAGAGCCTTGTTCATGCTAGGCAACACTTAACCACTTAGCTACATCCCCAATTTAAAGACTTTGTTTATAAACATCATACAAAGCCATTATCACCCTTAAATTAATAGCAATTTGTAATATCTTCAGATATCTAATGTTCAGTTTTTCATATTATCTCAAATACTTCTTTAATACTTTGCTTGAAAGAAGGTCCTACTTAAGGTTCATCTGTGGCATTTGGTTGATAGATCTCTAAGGTGTTTTGTAATTATAGGTATTCCTTTTTTTTTTTCTCTTTTTTCTTTGGAATTTATTAGTTTAGTGAGTCAGGTAATTTGTCTCACACATTTCGTACAGTCTGAATTTTGCACATTATGTATCTCTGTGGTGATGTTAGATGTTCTTCTGTCCCCAGTCTATATACTGATAGTTGGGTCTAGAAACTTGATTAGGTTTATGTTTGATACGCTTTGAGAGAGGAGAATATTTACTAGGTGTTTAACTGTGCAGTCGTCATCCCTCAGTATCCACAGGGATACTCTCCACCCAGGATACCAAAATCCACAGATGATAAAAGTCCCCCCACTTTTTTTTTTGGTAGTGGTACTGGGGTTTGAACTCAGGGCCTCTTACTTGCTAGGCAGGCACTCTACCACTTGACTATTCCACCAGCCCGATATAAGTCCCTTTTATAAAATAGTGTAGTATATTTTTAGCATATAACCTGTGCACCTCCTCCCATATACTTTAAATTATCCCTAGATTATTTTTGATATCTAGTACAATGTAAATGCTATGTGAATAGTTGTTTGCTGCATTGTTGAGGGAATAATGACAAAAAGTCTGTAATGTTCAGTACATACACCATTTTTTTCTGAATATTTTTGATAGATGGTTGAATCTGAATGCATAAACCTCAGCTTCAGAGGGTTAGCTCTGCTTGCGTAGGCACATCAAGCCTGTTGTCTGTTTTTGTCTTGGTCTATTATTTCACTAAGTGCTGTAGAATAATACATTTCATATCCATCCTTTCTTTATTTTGTAGCTATTTACTTCTGTTAATAGAAAACCCCTCATTATTGATTTGGTAACCCTGAGGTACACTTTATATAAGAGACGCAGGTTGAATTTTGATTCTTAATCTTTGCTTATTAATTTTCTCAGTAACTTGGTTTTCTGGCATCTGTCCAAGATGGTGTCTATTGAAGCTACGTTTGCTTTTAGTATCATTACGAATTCACGGATGTAAGCATTTTAATCATGACGCCATCCTCAGGGAAACTCAAATTGGCCCATCTTTGGCCTGAGCCTCTTTAGCTTGGCCCTTGAGCTTTGATAGAGCTTCAGTAGTTTGCGATTGCTGTGCTCTTTTCTGTTAAGAGAAGATCCATGTTTCATTTTAATGTGAAATTGGTATCTAGGGAGCACACCTGGAGCCCAGCAGGGCTTATTGATACTGAATTTGTGTTTTTGGTGAATTTGTAGAGCCAGGACCCACAGACATACGTGGGCAGTTTTGCTCTGTTTGGAGATAAAAATGCACCATGACTTCCACCTGGCAATTTCCAACCTGAAATCAGAACCAGGTGCTTTTTGACCTCTGCAGTCTTGGCAGCAGTGTCACTTTCCCCTCTCTCTGTGACATTTGTTTGCAGCACAGAGTCACCACAGCAGTGACCACCAGCAGGCTGATTTCTGAAACTAGTTCAAGATTTGATTTCTTTTAAAATTTTTATTTGTTGTGATGATGGGGATCAAATTTAGGGCCACTCATATTCTTTACCACTGAGCTATACCCCCAGGCACAATTTTACTTCTCTTTTGGCCTTTTATCCCCCATACTGTTCCACTGGACAAGTACAATGTAATTAAAGTCTCTCAAAGTCGCTTTTTATTTCCCTGTAAGGTTATGACACCAACCTGACACACAGCTCATTCGTTAACTTTTCTTTCAGATATTAGGAATTGCCATTCTAGGTTTTGAATTTTATGAAATATCTACAAGGCTCCAAAGTTTAAAATAAAGAACACTCAGAATTTCTGTTCAACCATGTCCCTGTACTCTTCTCCTTCACCTATCAAGTAGGTGACCAGTTAAAAATTTTTTTTTGCTTTTATTTTATCTCTTTATTTTAAAGCCATATGTAAGAAAAACATACCTCTTTATATGAGATAAGGGCTTATAGTTTTCTTACAGGCTTTATATGTATTTTATTGGTTTCTAAGTAGTGGATATTTACTATATCATGAAATATTTTCCCTTTTTGTTGTCCCTTTTTAAATCTTTTGTTGGTGCATAAGAATGTGTTTTAATGATGGCTGTTTCAGCTCTTTCCAACCTTTTTTTTTTTTTCTGTTAAAAATAATGCTTCCAGGAAGAGTTTCAGCACACGTCTTTTTGTGAATATTTTTTTGCATCCGTGATCTTCTCCAGATACAATTTGAAAAGTAGAAGTGCTTGGTCAAAGGCTGCACTTTGTAAAACTGCTCTTTCAAAGGTAGTACCATCAGTAGCATGAGCAAAGAGCTGATATGAGTGCTTGCTGACTGCTGCCTGTGTGGCCCCTGCTGATTTCCTGGCAGTAGTATGTGGTGGGGCTGAGGTACCCCACCTTTGCTTTTTCTTGTGAGGGCATATTTTTTAATTTGTCCTATAGATATTTTAAATATTTAAATATTTTACAAATATTTGTGCTGCATTTTGCTTGAACTTTTTTTTGGAATAATTTTATCTTTAGATTAATTTGAGGATTGTGGACATCCTTAAAATATTTAATCTCTTATTCTAGAATATGAAATGGGTTATAGTTTTATTAGAGGTCTCACACATCATTTGTTGATTTCCATTTGAATTCTCCTTTTAAAATGTTTTTGAAAAATTTTTTGCTGGTATGTTCTTACATTGATTAACTTGTTGATATTTACTTCATAAATGGCTATTTAATCCTTTTACAGTATCTTAGTTTTAGAGGATTTGCTGGCTTTAGATATTTTTAGAAAAGACTAATAATACATAATCTTAGCAATACTAGAGCTATTTAGGGCAAGTGTCCTATGTCACATGCAACACATGGAGGCTGTGTTGTGTAATTGGATTCTCTGACCCTAGTACTTTGACCTACACTGTCATGTGTTAGCCAGTGAATCTCATATTCCTGAGGTATGGTCAGGGTACGCTCCTCCTGGGAGTGTGAGGACATTTGCCTAGGTATCCAGGGTGACATGTTTGTATTAAAAAGATCACAATGGAACTGCAGCAAGATCTGGCATTCAGGCCTCTCAATACTGTTGTTTCAGGAATGTCTGTGTGGTTACATTCCCAGAAGCAGCAAGTGGGTTCGGATTCTATGTGGATTGGGGCATTGTGGTTATTGTGTGTCTTCAGTTATTTTTACCTCAGGATCACTGTTCCTTCAAGTTACCCCCAACCACTGACTGATTGAGAAGTACAGAATGTTGTCTGATAGGAATTCCCACCTTCCTGATCTGATTATTTCCTCTTATAGTCATTTAAATAGCTTCTCTATCATATTTTAGGTCTAGGGGCTTGAGTATTTTTGCAAGAATATTCATAGGTCAGCTGTATTCCATACCACATTACATTAGGAGTCCATATTGTCAGGCTATTTCATTTTAGATTTTATAGTAATTATTACACTTAAAATATAAATCATCTAGTAACAGAATCTTTTGAATATTCTCACTTGTCTTTGGGAAGTTGACCAAGAATAACAACAAGTAAGGCCCTTCTGCTTTGGGAAACAAAAAGATTCTGGCTGTTTCCTTCGCCCTCTGTCCAGCCTGCCACTCAGAGTCGGGAAAGTCCAGACTTGTCCCAGCTACGTGAGTATATGCACCCTACTTTTCTGTCAGATATTTTAATTTCATTAGGAATTAGAAAGGAAACAAAATTCATAAGAAAACTTTTGATATTAAAGAGTATTTGCTCCCCACTGAAACCTTAAAACTATACAAAGGATTTTAGGCCTTTTAAAATAATCTCTTTTAAGCACTCTTAGGTTATTTTAGCCTTCTTTTAAATCTACAAAGTGCTATTGCTCGGTCTTGCTTTGGAGCAGTGGATTGTACAAAAATGATACTAGTCCTACCATGTGGGAAACTCCAGTGTGCCCTGTCTGTTGTGAGA